TCCACCTGGGTGGAGACGGCGAAGGTAAAGGCCTCCATCCTGAGAGTTCGGATACTCAGAAGCCAGACAGTATCAAGTCAATTCATCCGCCAGTAATCGTCATGGTGAGCTTGTTACTATCTCACGATGATGATAGGTGTGGTGCTGTATGCGGTAACTTATCGGGGGGGAAGTTGAATTGTTGGAGACATTCATCATTCCCGCAGCTCCGAACAGATGAGGCGATGATAGGCTGGGACGGCCCACAGTTACTTGTGGGCTGCCGGGACTGACGCGGGGGTCACATGATTAACGCGCTCGGCGCGTGCACCACAACGGATTAGTTTAGATAAGGCTCATGGGAAGATTAATGAGAACGAATATTTGCATCTAAAAGTGTATCGAAGCCTGGATAGTTGACTTTGCATGAAAGGTGGTGCTACGATCTCACCTGGCGCCAACTGAAACCTAGACACCCTTAGTCCTTTGTTTTCTTTCCTCATTCCCTTCCTGCGCCTTGATCCTCCCCTCCCACCAACTACTCAGTAGGCTGTCTGGCGGCTGCTCGCGTTTCTTTGTCTTCCCCTCAGCGCGCCTCGTTTGTCGCATAGTCTCTGCCCTCCCAGAGATGGCACGACGTCCTTCTCCCACCCGAACCTCAACTCAGGCAGTTTCACCTGGACCATCCTCCGACAAGGAAAACCATTCAACATCAAAAGGTAACAGCAAGCGTGTTCAAATCCAAGCCATGCCCAGCAGCGCCTCGAGGAAGCGGCAACGACTGTCCACACGGGGCACCAACTCACAGGGAAGCCAGTCTCAAGGATCGCGATCACAGCCCGCCCGCGATAAGGACTATTACGACCCGGATCAAGATGAAGCCGAACGACGGAGAATCAGAAAGGGCCTGAGAGACCTGACGCGGGACCTCAACGGTGGGCTACTCCTCCATCATCAATTTGGAATTGCTTTTTCTCTAACGTATACCCGCTGCAGACTCCCGCAGTGAGTTTATGCGGGCTGGAAACAGTGGTATTAAGTCCACGATAGAAAAGGCCAACGAGTTGTTTCAGGGCGTCAAGCAAACCTCGGATGCAACCATCGACTCTCGGCTTTTGGTCAGCGCGGCGGACCTAGGATACAAGAAGACCGCACAATTAGTTCTGGGCGACGCCAGTGCAGGCATTGACGTCGACGAATTTGTCTCCAAGTGTATTACTTTCATGCGCCAGGCCCCCGCAGACTCTCAAAGCACGGTTCCCAGCAGCACCCAACGTCGCCACGCTGCCCGACCAGCAGATGATGACGGCGAAGATAATGGAGATGCCTTGAACTGGGACTGGCTGGGGCGGGCTGCGTCATTCTGCAGCAATGCCCGGCCCTCGGTCCCTGGATTCCTTCTGGGCCCGCTCTCGGTACAGAAACGAACCCGTCAGCAAGCCGTTCGGAGGGTCAGGGAACGGATTGACCCCAGTCGGGCGGTCGCGCCGCAGGATCTCCAAGACAAAGACCTTGACCGGCAGGAAACGTCTAATTTGACCACCATGTGTGGCAGTATCAACGGTCTACTGGCGAAGACACAAAACCATGGCCAAGACACTGTCGAAAGGCAGCTGTCGGCGCTCCAAGCTGAGCCTTCCGATGAGCAGCTGCAGAAAGTGATGGCGGAGAACAATGTAGCTGATGATGGTGGTGTCCCGCTGTTCCGCTTCTGCATCAACCCGAGGTCCTTTGGACAGAGCGTGGAGAACCTGTTTTACGTGAGTTTCCTGGTTCGTGATGGGTTAATTGGTATCTCGGTGGACAGTAGAGGATTGCCGACGTTACGTAAGTTTGCTACCTTACCCATCTGCAGATTCCGGTATTGACCTTGCATGTTCTAGACGCTGCGAAGCCTCATGCACCCAGCGAAGCTCTGAAGAAGGGAGTCCAGAAGCACCAGGCTATCTTCACTCTGGACTTTGAAACCTGGCAGGATCTGATCGAGGCCTATGGGATTGATGAATGTATCATTCCTCATCGCGCGGAAGAAGCCCAGCCAACGGCGCAGACCTGGCGATGATCGTGTTTCGAACGCCTGGGGCCGACTGGCCTGTGATGATGACTTTTTCTTAGCTATGTAGCAGGCGTATGGTTGCGTTTCATGCAGGTGAGGATACCCATTTGTTGACAAGGAAATTTGGCCGCGATTTCGATGTCATGTTTTGTACATTCTCGGGGGCTTTATTCGATGTAGATATTTCCCATCCGTATCTAAAAGGGTATTTACGGATCTGAGTGATCACAGACACAATAGCACCCATAGCAAGGAGCATTGTGAATGGCAGGACTTTATTATTCAAGAGGTCGAGCCCCTGAATGTTATGTAGGAACCGCCAAAGAAGCGAGACAGGATGCAGCTAGGTCAACCTTAATGGCAGCATCTCCGCCTACAACTGCGCAGAGCCAGGCCCTTGCCGAATAAACGAGTACCATGCCATGTGGTTGGCGCCTGTTTGATGTGATGCTTAGTAATTGACGACGCCTAGCCGTTGATGTTTTGTAATTGAATAAGTCTAGCCGTTGGAGCTTGCTAATCAAATAATTATAGCTGTCAATGTTTGGTTTAGCGATATACCAAGGCTAGCTGTAAATAATTTGGAATTCCATAATTCAAGCTGTCAATTTTTAGCAATTAAGTCAGTCTAGCCCCGGCCCATGGTGGCAGTGGCAGTTGGCCGATTGCGGCCGGGCTGGTAATGACGTCACAGCACCTGCAATCACGAGCATGCGCCCTCCGTTTCATCAAAGGAAAAGCTGTTCTAGTTTTAGCAGCTGCGTTGTCAGGCATCCTCCCTGCAAGCCTTTTCACGATCTGCCCACCCCTTTTCTGTGCCCTCGTGCGAAAGACCCGTGGAAAATTTACTCTATTTATTCTCCTTGGGGTGGCAGTGGACGCGACCAAACCACTTCTGATTGAGATCTACGCCTCTCCAACACTTTTTACAAGCACTTTACATTTTACCAGAGACGCTCTCGAAAGCTTGCAGCATGGCTCCTCTTTTCCCGAAGAACCCGGCCGATGTGATGGTCATTCGCAATGTGACTTCCAATGTAATCACTATGAGCTTGCCGTTTGCGCGGTTCGGTCACTTGAAGTTCGGAGGCCGCGGTACCTTGGGTGTGCATTCCTCTTATGATGTTACAAGGGTCTTCAATACCTGGAGCCCGACACAGTGCTCGTGCTGACTCTGTATGAATGGAATCTAGTCAAGATGGCTTCCGGCTCTGTGGCCGTGTTCTCTCCGGTCAGTCTGACCCAAGAGGTTCGCGACACGGTCAACAGTCTCGGAGGCAACGTCAAGTACATCGCCGCTCTGGATCTCGAGCACCATATCCACCTGACTGCGTGGAAAGAGGCCTATCCAGATGCCGAGATCATCGCTCCCGAGGGACTCTGGGAGAAGCGCCAATCCAACCCCAGGACCAAAGACACCACCCCCTTCCGTCATGTCTTCCGCAAGGAACTGGTCGGAACGCAGAAGATCTCGGAGGAGTTCGATGCAGAGTTCGAAACCGAATATGTCCACGCCCACCAGTCGCGAGAGCTGGTGTTCTTCCACAAGCCCTCCCGCACCCTCATCGAGGCCGACTTGCTCTTCAATCTCCCCGCGCGCGAACAGTACTCGAAGACCGGGGAGAGCGCCACGTCGGGCCTCTTGACGAAGATCATCAGTCCACTCTTGAACGCGAATGCGCCTGCCACCTGGCAGAAGAGATTTGTCTGGTATGCGCTGTCCAGCTCGGATCGTAAGGGCTTTACGGAGTCGATCCAGAGAATCGATAAGTGGGACTTCAACCGCTTGATCCCGTGTCATGGAGATGTGATCGAGAGTGGTGCCAAGGGAGTTTTCCGCACGGTCATGGAGTGGTTTTTGGAGGATCGGAAACGGACTTGATGACGACAAAAAAAGAGCCGAGTTTCATGCGACTTTTACTATCGATTATTAATCCCTTCGGCTGCGGATGTTCTTTATGTTCTGTGTTGGTTGCAAACGATATCCAATTGTTGTATAATCATAGTGCGGAGCCGCTTTGCGATCTGTTATTTAACGTTACTGCTGGCTAGCGCGTGTACTGTAATTGTTTTCTTGAATATAGGCAGGTTCAATAGTCTAATAGGCCAATTTCCAAAAAATCAGCCGGAGCCGATAATTGGTGAATTGGTTGTTATTGTTCTCGATTCGCGGGAAGTTCGAGCGGTGGGAGCTTTATTGACCGACGATCTGCGATAGTTTATTCTGGAGCCATGGTCGGCTCAAGGCACTTAGGATAAAGAGGACAATGGTGATTCTTCAGGTAGGGAACACTTAACAGCAGGTTTTAAGAAGTTACACCAATTTGCAGATGCGAATCGGGGCTGCCACGAATTATACCATGACGTCATCGGTGCTGCCACAGCCCGTTCCCCCTTTTTCCTCATCACTGCGAGTATTATTACGTTTGTATCGGTGCTGTGCTGCTGGTCTGCATGAACATGAGAGGAAATAACCTACTCAGACTCAAACAGTTTTTCAACGATCGCCCTAGAGGTGGGAACGCTACCGCAGACCTTCCTCGGGTCAAGTGGATACGAGAAAGGGATAACATGCATCCAAGGTGGGGAAATCCTTCAGCCTTAAGTGGGCTCTGTTCGGCTGCCAGAATCCCCTTGCTGCAGAGGGTGTGGCTTGGAATGTGAATGTGATGATGCTGATGTTGTATCAAGATGCTGTATTGTAAACTCGGCTGCCTGGCAATCTTTTTTTTCATTTAGGAAGGCGTGTGCGAATGTACTGGATTATAATACCCTGTAGCCAGGGGATTAGAGTAGTGTACATGCAGTACATCGGTGGTCATATTGTCAATGGTAGCTTTCCAGGTACCCTCCTTGTAGCTTTCCCGAGGATTGGTTAGGAGTCAAGCCACTCAAACTCACCTGATGGGCGATCAATCAATTTCCTTCCCGCCTTTTTGCTTCCCGCCCTATTTCTTGGGGCTTGGGCAGACGATGTCATGTCATTCGCAATTGCTTGAATTGAATACTGGCTACGTACGATGACGTTCGAGTCGATGTGCTGTGTAAGGGAAATAGACTCATTGAGGGTCTGAAACATACCTATATAACCCCCGAGTCCGCTTCACCTTTACTTCCCTCCATCGTTCCTTCTGTCTGCAGGATAATTCGCTTACCACTCACTTCCTCTATCTTCCTCTACTCTAATCTTACAGTCACTGTACTGTTCAAGTCAACAAGCCTGCGTTTTCGCCCGCGCTAATCTCGACCTGCAGCACACTCTACCTCACACTACTGTAACCGAGTTACCAGGGACTCATCATGCCCGTCATCTCACGTCTCATTTCCATCGTCTTCCGTGTGGTGGAAGTCATTTGCGCTGCAGTATGTGCAACCCCTGATCAACTGCATGCCTACCCCCCACCCCCAAACAGAAGCTAACGAGTCATGATTCATAGGTGGTTGCCGGTATCATCGGACACTACCTGCACCAGTATGATGGCGATGCCTGGCCGGTCGCCAGGTGGATCTATACCGAAGTCATAGCCGGCTTGTCGATACTGCTGGGCCTGATATGGCTGATCCCGTTCTCATCGGGCTTCTTCTCGTGGCCGTGTACGTGTTGTGCCGCCTCCTTGCGTCCCTCAGTCTTAGCGTTGCGTATCACTTATACTGACGTTACACAGTCGATGTCATCATCTCTTTCGCCTGGTTCGCTGCGTTCGGAATATTGGTCGATGCGATCCACAAGCTGAACTGTGGATCTATCTGGTATTGGGGCGGCATCATCCACAACAACTCGTGTGGCCGGTGGAAGGCGGCCGAAGCGTTTAGTTTCATCTCTGCCATCGTATGGCTGGCCTCGGCGCTCCTGGTATGATTCAGTGACACCAACTCAAGACTATAGTCTAATACTGACATGCCTTGCAGGGCATCTGGTTTACCTTCCGTGTCCGCGACTCGTCTGCTCCCCGACAGTAAGTGCCCTGACCTTTTGTGTATTTTGTGTAACACGTTGCTGACATGAAACAGCAGCCGTCGCCGCTTTGGCCGCTCTGCTGTCTAGATGGACAGTTGGTTGACCGCGCTGTTCATCTGTGCGATCAGATGGACTAATCCTCCGATGCTTGTCGTGCACCAATCATGCAAGATGTCGTCGATCAATGTTCACCCATTATGATGTGGCACGCATTGTCACGACACGACTTAATGAGATCTCTTTTAACTAATATTCTGATACCCGGTTGGCGTGCTAATGCTTGATGAAGGGATGCTGATGGCCTTCGTTGTTTGCTTTGTGATTTGCTATGATATTAATCTAATATGATGCTATTTCTCTAATTAAGGAATGTCTATGCTGTAGGGATGGGTCCACCCAGAGAGGTGTTTCACATTTTGATCCTGATTACCTTGTTCACACTAATAGAACCCAAGTACCAGGAGGTCTGGGGTCCGAGGTTCAGTGTCAGCAGGATTCTCCTCACCGACCGAGTCGCGGAGTGCTGAGCATTTTCGCCGGGCTGACCTCCTTTGACTCCTCTCTGCGAGTGATGCGTGCCTTGAGTAATGAAAGGTACATAGATGGTTCGATATAACATTGTTGCAAACGTCCAATTGAATGGGCTCGTGATGACTAACTCTAGCGTGGCGGACATTCCTGCGGAGTCTGGGTCCCTTCCGCAGATCCCGAAATCTCATTCATGGATGGGGAATCAACCATGGCAGGAGCACCGCAATCAGGGGCAGGATCGAGTTCGCGATCGTCCTCATTTGAGAAAGGCTCGCAGGACTATCGTTTGACGGTGCTGGAGCCTGAGCATCATGACGACTCCGACAGCAGCCAGCTGGTTGTGATTGGGCGGGAAAGCTCCGATCTGCGGCCCGATGCCGCCACGAGGGAGCCTCTGCTACCAACTTCATCACCGATTCCAAGTCAGAATCGTCATCAAGAGCTCGGGAAATCCTCATGCTCCTTATCTGGCATTCGTACCTGGATCAAAGGTCCAGTCCCGCCAGTCGAGTACAAAATTACCCCATGGCTAGCCCGCTGGCAGACGGCCCCGAGCCGTTACATTGAGCGTCTCCTTCCGAGCACCCGCGCCAGAGTCTCGCTTCTGGTGGCTGGTATCGCCCTGTGGGGAGTGGTGTTTTTGACCATCCTGCACTATTCGATTACTGGGCAAGAGATTCCTGGATATGGAACTCCAGTCAAGCTATCATGTCATGCACGACTATGGTATGTCCCCCTACTCGTTTCCTCCACATAACCCAGGCTCACAGTCCCTTGCTCAGGTATAATTCCACAGAGTGTGGTCTCGACGGAGAGGCCTGCCGTCCGTTCGATAACGGTGGCTTTGCCTTTCGCTGCCCCGCTAGCTGTGCGGATGCGATTCTGCTCGAACCGTATGTTGTCGGGCCTGCAGAGTACAACTATCGTCCGCTAGTCATCGGAGGATCCCTCCAGGACAATTCCACTGCAGACATATCAGCTAGCTTTGGAAACATAGGCATCTACCGCGGCGACTCGGCCATCTGCCCTGCGGCACTTCACGCCGGCCTAATCAACAGCCAAACCGGCGGCTGCGGCGTGCTCCGCCGCACAGGCGAGCATAACGACTACCCATCCGTCTCCAAGAACGGGGTCACGAGCATCGGCTTCGCATCCTCCTTCCCGCTCTCCTTCACCTTCAACACCGACTCATCCGAAAGAACCAGCTGTCGTGACCAGCGCTGGCCGCTCTTCGCCTTCTCGCTCATCACCACCACCCTCCTCTCCCTCTGCACCACCTCCTCCGCGGGCTTCTTCTCCTCCGTCTACTTCATCGTCTACTTCCAAGTCGCCCTCTCCTCGGACCCCCCGTACTCCCCCGACTACCTGGAGATCGTCTCCACAGCCCTGGGCCGCTTCCTCCCGTGCGCCATCGTCGGCTGGGCGATCTACCACTTCGCCGTGCGGCGCACACTGGCCCACAACCTCCCCGCGCGCTGGGATCAGACCGTCCTCTGGCTGGGCCCCTGCTGGGTCGGCGCCCTCAACACCGACACCTTTGACAAGATCCCGATCTCGCGCCTCACGCCGCACGACCTGCAGCAGCAGCCCGGCGCCATCCCCGCGCTGCTCATCATCGTCGCCTGCCTGGTGCTCATCGTCCTCACCCAGGCCCTGGCCTTCCGGAATGAAGGCCGCCTCCCGCAGATGCTGACCGTGTATGGTGTCTTCGTCGCCGGCATCGCCTTGCTCCTCTCCGTGCCCCACATGAACCTCCGCATCCACCACTACATCCTCAGCCTCCTGTTCCTGCCGGGCACCACCCTGCAGACCCGCCCCTGTCTCGTGTACCAGGGCCTGCTGGTGGGGCTGTTCGTCAACGGCATCGCGCGCTGGGGCTTCGATTCCATCCTGCAGACCGGCGCGGCGCTGCTCGAGGGCGCCCAGCTGGGCAGTGTGCTGCCCGTCGTCGGGACGCCGGTTGTGCTGGGCGTCAGCCACATAGCTTTCGCTGTCGGCAGGGACGCGCTGATGAACGGCACCCGCGGGCCGTCGGCGGGAGATGGGGTGAGTGTTTTGGTCAACGATGTCGAGCGGTACAGAGGCTTTTGGTCGGATTTGGTTCCCGGTGCCGGTGATGTTGATGTTGATGCTGGTGGTGGTAATGCTACGGTCGCTGCTGCTGCTGCTACTGCTGCTGGGGAGGGATTGTTCAATTGGACGAGGCAGACAGACGGCGAGGATGAGTATTTCCGATTCGCGTTTGTGCGCCTGAATGCCTTGGGTGGGTTCTGGTATGAGGATTTCACGAAGCCTGGGATCTGGACGAGGGAGGGGGACTGGGTGGGGTGGGGGGAGGTTGAGAAAGATACGGATGGTGATGGTGCAGGTGATAATGGTGGGGAGAGGTGAGGTGATGGTTGACAGCTACTTCCGTCATCTAGATTTTTATTGGATTGTTTTGGCTCCCCATCGGAAATCTAGTTATAAACTGTGTATGCATTTCAATTGCTCTGGGTTGGCTGTTGTTGATAAGGCCTAGCTGTATACACTGCAGTAGATTGACTTAGAGGTGCTCCCACCAGAAGACTGTGGTCTGATACCCCGGCTCAATGGTCAGGGAAATGTATACAGTACATCCATTCAACTCAACGATGCTAATTCCACTAAATCCAAAACCACACGCACCTCAGAAGAACGCCGTGCACATGCATATGCATAAGTTGCCCAATCAACCCAGAAAAAAAGAAAGCCATTGATACATCCTCTCCAGACCAGCAGAAGAATCATGTATGTATATATAAAGAAACAGCAAGATCATCGCCCAGAAACAGACACTTGGCACCAAGAACAGTCTACTTCTCCAGATAGTTGTTACACCGGACCTGGATGACTTTCTGGTCGCCGCCGTCGGCGATGACCAAGGCGGTCAGCTCCCCGCCCTTGACGCAGCCCGAGTCCAGACCCTTGGTGTAGGTGTTGATGCTGAGGGAGGACTTGGAGTCGTGGCCGTAGATGACGGTCGTGGCCTGGGAGTCGGTGGCCTGGGCGTCGGCGTGCTTGGTGGATTTGTAGGTGAGGGATTGGTGTTTGTTGAAGAACTGCATTCAAACGGTTAGCCAACACCTGCTGGGGGGGGGGGGGGGGGTTGTGGGAAAGAGGATTATGTGTGGACATACCTTGGTCCACTTCTTCCCATCGCGACTGGAACTCGGGAGATGGGTGTCCAGATCGATCGTCAGCATGTTCATCACGCTGAAAGGATCCTGCTTGTCGTAATCCACCCCGGGGACCAGCCCGCCATGCACCACGGCGACCTGGCCCATCGTGGGGATGTGGCCGACGTTCAGGATCACGGGACAGGCGTCGAGCCACTCCGCCTGCTCGTCGGTGAGGTTGCGGGCCAATTGGAGATCTCTTTGGGCGCCGGAAGTCGACAGCCCGTCCATGTACTCGTCGCCCGACGTGTCCGTCATGGCGTCCATCTCCGCGAGTTCTTGGCGCACCAGCAGCACGCGATCTTCGTGGTTGCCGCGCACGCAGGATGCGGCGTGTTTCCGGGCCAGGTCGACCACGCCGGGACTGTCGGGGCCCTTGTTGATCAGGTCGCCGGTGAAGATGAGGTGGTCGGTCTTGTCATTGAAGGTGACTTCGTCGAGGAGGCGTTCCACTGTTTGAATCGGTGAGAAGATTAGCCGCCCACTGTTCGAAACAACAGGAATAGTGGTTTTGTGGAAGGACAATACGCACACTCCATCCGGCACCCATGCACGTCCCCCACCACAATCAATCGTCTCGTGCTCTCCGCGCCCGCCTTGGGCGTCTCCTTCGCCGGCAGCAGCGACGAATCCAACGTCTTCAGCTGCAGGACGCCCTCGAAGCTCGGCAGCGCATTGGTCCCGTACCACCCGCCCACCGTCTCCTTCGAGTTCGGGTCCAGCGACTTGGTCAACTCCGAGTGCTCCTGCAACCGCGGCGACAGCACGAACTCCCACCCCAGCAGACAGGACAGAAACAGTGTGGTGTAGATGATCGCATAGCGCCGGAAGCGCGGCGCCGTGACGATGGACAGGACCATCTGCACCCATCGGGGCGTGTCGGAGCGGTCGGGCGACGACCCTGACGAGTACTTGGTGTTGGATTGCCATTCGTTGCGCACGTAGTCGATCAATGGGCGCGTATATCGTTTGACCCGGCGGGTGGGATTCAGCGCGTTTTGGAGGAAGGGCACATCGTCGGAGCCGTCGGAGGAGTAGTCGAGACTTTCGGTGTCGTGGTGGTGGTAGTGGGGATGGTGATGGGTGGATGTCATGGTTGGTGATGGGGCGGTCGGTCGGTTGATGCGATGTGATGTGATGGGCGGCGGTCGGGGGTGGTTGGCTGGCTTCTAGACACTGGATCTCAATAAATCAAGGATTTTCTATGACTAAAACACATGAATGCAGGTCTAGTGGGTAGGAGGGAAGATGCGACAGAAATTTACGAGGTCATTGAGAGTAGAATGTAGGGGAGAGGAGGGGGGGTGGGTTGTGGGTATGGGTTTGATGGTCGGAGAGGATCGTCAGCCTCGTTGGGGAAGTGAGTTAAGGTACGTACGGGTTTATGGGTGGAACACAAGTGTCGGGCGACGCCTTGCTTCAATGGGATTCGACCGCGGGTCCCGTGGCCCGCTATTCCTGGTGGGGCTTAGTGCCTTGGTCCTGCCGCCAAAGGGACCAGACCCCGGTCTAATCCCCTTCCGGCTAGTCCGCTGCTATCTATATCTTACTCCGCCATAACCAACTGTGTCGGATGTTGGTTTCTACTGTAACGGCCTTGATCCTTTGCGTGCCCGTTCTCAATTATCATATAATCAGGCTTACTCGCATTGACCTAGACAATTCAAGGACCATTGTGGTATGAAGTATATGCTTGATTGATCAGACTAGTCGGACGATTAATTGCAATCGAGTATTCCGCGCCTCACACCGGGATGAGATAGTCACAAATGCACTGACCTGCATCACAGGTCCATGTCTTACAAGTTCTTGGACAATCAAAGCTCACGGCGCTAAATGATGACAGTCTTGATGCCCTTGAAATGTTGGGGAAAGGAAGCGGGCTCGACCATGCTTCCTCATACATTGTCAGCATCATATTCGCCGCCACACACGCTCGCACTCGAACAAAGGACCACATAGTCCCCACCCATCGTCATGTCTTCTACCATCCGGATCACCATCTCTGGCGGTAACCTAGCGGGAGTATCACTTCTTCACGCTCTTCTCCCCCACAAACACCTGGATGTGCACATCTTTGGCCGTCGGAGTCAATCGAAATGCGCTCACAGCCCTCGAGCTCATTGACTCATCGGCAATGCAATGCCTCGAAGCAGCGGGAGCTGTTCCGGCAGTCGAGCTGATGGAGCGGGCATTGAAGCCTTCAGGTATGTTTCACTTATGCCAGTGGCAGTCATCCGACCCTCTTTGTAAAACACACGGAGCTTGAGTGGCGCAAGACTAGAACCTGGTTACAGGGCAGGCTTGGATGATACTTATCTTCCTACGCGGCCACATTAAGCCTAATTGCTTGCCAATCCTAACTTGAGATCATAACAGTATCGTCTCATGTAAGAATCAATCAATATTTACCCACTCGCTATACAGAATCTAAGCTATCACACATATACAAAAATCGAATTCGTGGTGATACACATGAGCGGAAGCGCATCAAAATCGTGACCAAATGATGAAAGCTCGAGCTCACCGATATTGTTCGTAGAAATCGATCTCCTTCTGGCGCTTCCGCACCATCTCGATCGTCTTTTCATCGTACAGTTCCTCGAGCGTCTTGCCCCCGAGCAGAACCTCCTTCTCATGGCGGGTAGCCTCATCCTTGGTCATGCAGACCAGGTTCTTCATCTCGACAGGCACATAGGTCTGGCCCTGCTGCATCCACTCCGGGTCCGGGGCGAAGCCGCGCGGCGGCCGCTCCCATGGCACCAGGCAGACGCGACTGGGGAGACCGCTGACGGCGCTCTTGCCGCGCCAAATCTCGTCGACCAGGTAGCCGACATCATCCTTGCTGACGGGCAACCGCAGGCCGACGAGGGTGGGCCCGTACTCGGCGCGGGCCAGACGCTCGTGGGTGCCTTGCAGGGCGGCCAGGACGCCGTCGTACAGCTTGTCGCGGCCCTTGCCGCCGATACTGTAGTCCTGCGGGTAGCCGGCGATGGCGCAGATGACGTGGTTGGCGAGAGTGTAGCCGAAGACGGCGGGCATGGTGCCCAGCACGGGCAGGATGCGCGCGCGGAAGTCCGGCAGCACGCTCAGCTCGCCCACCTGGCCCTTGGAGAACTCCTCCTCGGCCAGGGGCAGCAGGGTCGCCTTCCCGGGGCCGGGCTTTTCCGTCGAAAACACCACGGGGATGCCGGTCGTCACGCCGAGGAGCTTGAGGCGGCGGCGCGTGCTGCGCGACAGCGGGTCGTCCGTGCTGTGCGAGATGTCCCCGACCGTCACGCGGGTCGGGTCCGACTTGCAGCCGGCGCCCATGGCGGAGATGACGGGGATCCCCTGGGTGTGGCAGTAGTGCAGCAGCTCCACCTTGGAGGTGATGTTGTCGATGCAGTCGAGCACGAAGTCCGGCTTGCGGCCCTTGTCGCCGTCGTTCTGCGCCCACGGCGCCAGCAGCTTCTCGGCCACCGATCCGCCGAACAGCTCGTTGCGGCAGTCGAATTTCACCCACGGCACGATCTGCTCCAGGCGTTTGCGGATGCAGTGCACCTTGGGCGTGCCCACGTCCGCCAGCGTCGCCAGCGCGTGCCGGTTCAGCGACGAGAGCGTCACCTGGTCGAAGTCAATCAGCCGGATCTTGGACACGCCCGAGCGCGCCAGCGCGGCCACCGCGTGCGAGCCCACCCCGCCGCAGCCGACGACCACGATGTAGGAGGATCGGAGCTTCGCGAGGCCCTCGTCCGTCAGGAAGACGCGGTTCCGGGCGAGCTGTTCGAGGACGAGGTCTAATCACGGATGAAGCTCGTTAGCAACGAGGAAGCTTTTGACTCCGTCCGGGGTTAACCCGTGGCATACCGTCATCGTAATCGCCTTCTTGTGCTCGACGGGCGAGAGCGGCGCTGCGCTCGTCTTCTTTGCTCAGTTGCGTGGCGGCGGAAACTCCATAATCTGTGAGCTTTTGAACGACCAGAATCAATTAGCTTCAGAAGTTGCAGTATTCTTTGGAGTGAATGTACCTTCTCTGCGTGATGTTGTTCGTCGATACTTGGGATCGAGGCCTTGAGCTGCTGGACGGCTTCTTTCCGCCGAAGCGCTTGGTAGCCGAGAATGACGCCAGCGACTGCGGCGCCCGAGAGTACGGCCGTAGCAGCCAGCTGCGACTGATGGGAGCTACCCTGGCGCTGAAGCCAGGATGACATCTTTGCAATTGTACCTCTATGGGTTGGTCTCGGAGTTTCCCGTGTAGGTGGGTAGGTATAGGTATGCGCCTAGTGTCGCAAAACTATAGCAGAGTCAGAAAAGAAAAAGGTCCGTCGCATTAGATCAAGATCGCATTGGACAAGTTTCGGGTTTATCCGTAAGTAGAGACGGAATGACACACTAACCTAGACACCCCAGATTTCAACGACACAGGTCCCCGTTGCGAAGCGTTACGTAGTTCCAAGGCAAACTTGAAGCTCGAGTGGAGAAACCACTCGCCGCAAATCTGATGTAGATCACGTGCTTCCGCGATGACTTTCTCTGCCCGCGGGCGCGCGTCTCCGCAACACGCAACCAACTTCCCGACGCGGTTGATTATCCCTTGACAACTCCGACACTCCAGGCCTGGAACGGTGTTTTTATGAGAACACCCAGGCCAGCATTTTGAGTTCTCTAATTCAATAAGAAGTCATCCTCCTCTCAAGCAACCCTCGCTGCGAATTTACAACCCACAGGCAAGATTTCTACCATCCCGATGACGAGAACACCACACAAAGAGCTTTATCTCATGACACCTTTTTCAAGGGACCATCATACCTAGGTCCGGGCAGTGGACTTCATCTTTTCAGGAACTCTGGAATGGAAGAAGACATCTGTCTAAAAGTGTGAGTGATTGAGAAATTGAACAGAGATCTAAGGGATTGGTGGAAGTCTCGCCTTGTGGCGTTTCTGTTCCCATGTGCAGGTTCGTTTGTCTTCTCCTCAGCATTGGATTAATGTTCTTGCTATACTTTTGATAGAGTGTGCGCTGCGTGCGAAGATTTGAAGAGGCTACCACGTCTTGACAGACCGGTGACTTTCTCAAGGATTATTATACTCCACAAGGTGTTGCTCCTGAGCAGGAGTGCCGTTACTCAAGCTAGCGACTCCTGTCTCAGACACATCGAAACGATACGGCTGCTATTATTGCGGTCTATCTTGGTCAACGACGTGTCAACGTTGTGTATACCACCCTATCCTCTACGGGAATACTGCTGCCCAGCGGCGCAATCCGGAGGATGCCAGATGCCGAGTGCTTTTGAAGAGAAACGCCGGTATATAGGCACCACCGAACCACCAAAGTCCGGAAAGACCGGCCCAGATTATCCGAGGCCGGCGCAGGCGAGAAGGGGGAAAAGCAAAAGGCTATGTCCCTAGACCTTCCCGTGGCTAGACCCCCAGACTGAAGAAATGCCGGCTGGGGAGGAGCCCGCGGCCCGTGATTTCTTAGCGAGATTTCGCGAATTCTAGCAGGAGGACTGCTACTGTTAACCCCACCGGGGTCACAGATCGGCCAGTAAGAGCCAGGTTTGAGGCGAAAGCCGGAGACAGGCCAGAGCCAGTGAGGCCAGTGCCAGTGAGGCCAGAGCCAGTGAGGCCAGAGCCAGTGAGGCCAGAGCCAGTGAGGCCAGAGCCAGTGAGGCCAGAGCTAAAGAGCCAGAGCCACAGAGACAAAACTAAATAGCCAGGGCTAGAGAGCCAGAGCCAGAGAGCCAGAGCTAGAGAGCCAGAGCTAGAGAGCCAGAGCCAGCCAGCCAGAGCCAGCCAGCCAGAGCCAGCCAGCCAGAGCCACCAGACTCGCCAGCCAGAGCCATCAGACCCAGCAAGAGCCCTCAGACAACACACGAACGGCATCCAAGGAGGGCAGAGACAAAGCAGAGACAAGCGAAAGCAACAAATAGGGCCCGAGCCAACTTAAAAGAGATAGCAGTGGGGCCCGGAGCCGACACCACTCCTTGCATATTTGTCCAGTTACTGACCTCGGCTAGAACAATGACTCCCAACGAGGTAAACATAGTTCGAAGATTTAAGACACCATCTCAGATTATCATCCAAGAAAGCTACTGTTATATCATGCTTCAAGAGACATACATCCCTGGTCACCAACACGTGACGGTTGACCACGAACACCCTGAACACCACACCCGTATGATATCACGAAGGCGCAGGAACCCAGTCGATGTTCCAGATCTCCGAAACCAAATACCAACCGCAAGAAGCACCCCCTTCTTCATTCCAGCACCCCAGCACCATCACAAATGGCGAGTATATAAATACAGCCGAAAAAACCTCCCGCACTCCGTTCGACCATTCGTCATGCTCCATGTAAAACTGAGGCAGCTAACCACCTTCACCCATCTCCTGTCCACCCAGCCATATTATACTGCTCCCCTACCCCTTACTTCAAACAACAAATCGCAACATCCCTCCACCACTCTCTTGCACGCCGAAATGATGACAAACCATTAAGCACTCCGAGGCTACATCACTTGCTCCGCCTGTTCGCCTATCAAAGGTAACGACGTCGAGCATCTGCCGATGACGAGGGAATATTCAATAGTAGTTTTCAATCTGACTAAGGCGCGGCACTCACCACCACATCCATAACTAAGAAAATCCTACAGGGCACCATCTAACAAGACCACCACCCTGACACTGACACAGCATAGAGTCATAGACCACCCGCACTTAATGTAGTGCGATGGCATACGACTCGGCCTGGTTCAGGTGGCATACAGAGCAGATGAACACCCTTCACATTTTTCCAGACCGCACCTACTCAACTATCATTTATCACTCCCTTTACCAAATCCAATCCACGAACCACTTCAGCAGACAAACCATGGCCCGGTGACGAGGAATTTACCCAAAAGCCAAAGTTGTATGGTATCCGGCTGACTCGTGACACGTCGTGTTGCGTCTACAAAATCAAGCCTGGAAATCAGTGAGAACCTGAGAGCTAATCTGAGGGCCATGCAAGTCTGCTCGTTGATTTCCTTTTCTTCTTACGACATGATGTGGAAGGGCATGCATTAGAGACGGTCCGTGGTTTTGTATCCTTATATAGTGCTGTACAGACGGTATTGAATGAATACAGTAAAGATCGTTGATAGAGTCGTCAAGACGTCGCTTCGTATCTTCGAGTGTACAATGACCATGACTACAACTTATATACACACTTGCTCTTACACAAGAGCCTTCAGTTCCATGCTAATGATCCGTGAATCGTAACACATCACAAGTGATCTGCACAAATGCGCCAGCCGTCCTTCCGAACTAAATTGAAGCAGGGGTAATGGTCGAATTGGCATGAATCGCGATAGCCGCCGCATGCAAACACCGCAACTTGCCACAGTTTGCATGAAACACGATCCGCGTGCCGTCCCGCGAAACGGTTGCGCCACCGGGCGACTTGAGCCCGAAGTCGCCGGTCTTAAACAGCGCCCGGTCCGCGCGGGTGTAGGGCCCCTTCAGCGACGTGGCGTAGGCGTATTTGACGTCGTACTTCGGGGAGGTGAAGCAGTGGGAGGAGAAGAACAGGTAGTAGATGCCCTGGGCGGTGCGCAGGAGGTTGGGCGCCTCGACCAGCGGGCCATCGCTCTTGTCGTTCTGGAGGATCTGGACCGGGTCGCCGACGGGGGTCACGCCGTCGGCCGCGAGCTCCTGCAGGAGGATGGGGACAGGCAGCACGGGCTTCTTGCCGTTGTTGCAGTCGCCGCCGTGGCCGATGCTGTTGGCGTCCGCTTTGTAGACGACGTAGAGCTTGCCGTCGGCGTCGCGGAAGGGCGACGGGTCGATCGCGCCGCCTTGGTCGCGCGGGCAGGCCAGCGGTTTGCGCTGCGGCACGTAGGGGCCCAGCGGGTTTGTGCCGTTGGTGACGGCGACGCCGACGCAGTGGTGGTAGAGCCAGTCTTTGAGTTCGCCGGAGTAGTAGAGGACGTATCGTCCGTCGTCCTGAGTTCACGTCCGGTTAGTAAGTTGCTGGGGGCTTGGGTGTTGGGGATGGTGGCAGTAGATGCGGTACGTACGCGCTGGATCACGTCCGGGGCGTAGTGATTGATGTCTGTCTCCCAGCCACTCAACGAGGGCATGGCATCGTGGCCGTCGAGTAGCTTCCACGAGCTGAAGTCCCTGGACGTCGCGACGGGTACATGAGGCACTTCGGAGTTGTTCTTGACTGCATTGGTGCCGTAGGTATACCAGGTGCTGTTCACATGGAGTAGCCCAGGATCTGGAAAGTCCGAGAGGACCTGAATCGGTTGGTTTGCTGCGTTGTGATAGCTGGGATCATCATGGGATCTGTTCCTCTTCACCAAGACTATGGGAACCGTGATGGCGATGACGATTATCGCCAACGCAAAGAAGGCTAAGATCGACACTGTCAGGATCTTACCCCGCGTCCAGGGTCTCGGGCCCCTGGCGGAGGAATCTGACGACGATGCACTGTCGGGTGACTTCAGTACAGATATACCCTTCTCTGCACCGGATTCAGGCTGTGTAGATTGGGAGCTTGGCTTTGCGGGAGCCCCGAACAGGCTCCAGATCCCTCTCGTTCTCTGTTGTGTCTCCATTTCCGCCTATGTTTCTCACCATGCCCCGGCTAGCCGGAGGGTATGATCGATCGTACCAGGGTACCATTCATGTGCGTATGCAACGGTAGCTGAACCAGATACTGCTATTCAGGTTTATAGCACACTCAGATGGAGCTTTAATTAGAAAAGACTACGGTGTTTCGCAACGCGGGGTCCCGTTTCAGACAGAGAATCGCAGCGCTGATGGTAATCTAAGGCAAGCACGCAAATTGGCGTCAGCATAGCGAAAGGAACTGGCTGACCATTTCCAAGACGTCAGTTGGCCGGATTGAACAGCCACTTCTGGACCCCGGGATCTACTCGGTAGTACTTCATATTAGCCAGTCGTCTCTTGCCGCCGCGGGCTAAGCATCCGCTTTGACTAAAGGGATGAGCGCATTGATTAGATCAGCCGCCACCGGGATCATGATGAGGTCTTTTCTTTTGTATAAGGAATTTGTGCCTGGGAGCATGTGCATGTTGACTACTGAAGTATAGACCAGCCATTGCTGGACCATTGCTAACGCTCAATGGACCATTGTCCTTGAATCGGCGCTGAGCTGACTGTATTCGCGTTTACAGCCAGCTCAGGTGTAGAGACAATCACACTCGGAGCATGTGTTGAGAGCAAAGGACATTTAGACATAGCACAGAGTGTCTTGTGCTCAAGGTCAATGACGTTGTGGAATGACGCTGATCAGGTATCGTAGCATTCAAGCAACCATGATCGAGAGGTTCTCATCCAGGGTTGACTTTCCAGTGTTGTCCATTATCTTTCATTCATGAGATCTGGTAAGAGACTTTTCCGTGGTTACAGCCTGTGTACCGCTTTCAGTAACTATCGGATCGGATAGCTTTCATCAGCCACTCTCAGGTCGAGAATGCTCCCACGTGTATTGTAAGGAGCGGTATTGTCCCGTAAATTTCAACTGTAGATCGAAAGGCTCGAGATAAGGCCTGTGGCAATCTGAGACTCGAGACGGTTGTAGAAGGACAAGCGTCTTAACGAGATTCCTTATTAAGCATCGCGGTAATTGAGCCATGTTCAATTTGTCAATTGCCCGTGAGTTGGTGATTGTGAATAGGAGATAGTGGATGGAGGAAATTCCGAGCACATGAAGCGGGAAGAAGGGGGAAGAGGAAGCGGGAGTGACAGCCAGCAATCACACATTCAGACATACTCCGGAGTACACCAGCTGCAGCTGAAGGCTTGTTTCCTTTACAGCCGAAGGGCAGGGCCAGACAAGCGCCGAAGCCAAGTCGGATCCATGACGCGGCTTGCTGGAGGGTGACGCAACCCCTTCCCGTATGCCTTCCACCACGTTCAATGCGACCGGGGATATTCTTGTCACTCTCGGATCTTAGACGTTCCATAGTTGATCATCATCAGGACTGAAGATATCCCCCGTTGATTCAAACCCCGAGCGTAACCTTAAAATGTGGTCTGGAGTCTGGAGCCTCTGGACATCCGACAGGCAGCCTTGCGATCGCAGGTGGATCTGACGGTAGGGCCGAAAACGGCGGTGCAAACCGATTTTGCTGTGGGGAAACAAGGAGAAACAGGAGAAACAGGAGAGTGTTGCAACCTCAAACTGCTCGATAGTCAGGTACACCCGACGACCTGACCTGTTCCATGAATGAATCACGGTAGAATAATTTACTCGAGTAGTTCGTGGGAGAGAACGAGAGGGACGATCATCTTTCCGTTGCAGGCAGAAGTCGATAGCACCAAGGTTGAGGTTGAGGTTGAGGTTGCAGGCACTTATCTTTTCCCCCCCTGGGCTTGGATTTCCTTGTGAGAAGACACGAAGACAAAAGGAAGACAGACCTATAAGAAGCAACCAAGAGCCAGCTGGCCGCGTCTCTGGTGCATGGGATGTGCCGATGCCTGGATGTACTCAAGTATGTGTAGGAATGTTGATCGGGAAGAATTGACAATTTGACGCCACCAAAAAGGCCGTCGTCACTCCCGAATCCGCGGGCTCCACCGACCAACACCAAACAACTTCACTCCCTCCCCTCTTCAAACATTGAATCAATTCTCTTTTATTTTTCCCGCGCTGGTGTCGTACAACCGACGCCTGTCTGGACTGACCGGTCTCTTTTTCAAATATCTTATCTTCTTTCTCGCCCCCATGGCACGGTTGCAAGAGCCCTAGTTCACTCATCGTTCTCTGTCGGCCTTTTCAGCGAACGCGCAATCCATCGCACCCGTTCGCTCTGACGCCTTTCTGACGACGACAGCCCTTTTTGCTGGGACACTTACGGCCTACGGATATGCACAATCGGGGACAGTTCCGTGGAAGAGACACCAATTGACCTTGGACCAAGATTGACGATTGACATTGTCTCGGGGAGGCCTGCGAAAGTGGGAAATAAAAAAAAACATCTGGGGAAATTCCTGGAGCTGTAACGGTAGCCCGGATTTAGCCGACTACAACAACATTACCTCCCCCCTATTTGCGCCACGATGCTCACTTTTCGCAAGTCGCTTTTTGCGGCCGTGTTACTGATCACCTTCATCGTCTTTTTCCGATCCTCGCATTCCTCCCCGTCTGTGTCGCCGCCGGTGCCCGCCTCCGCCGCGAAGGCCTACGACGATGGCCAAATAACGAATGACCAGCCCCAGGGGCAGAAGCCGGACAGCAATAAGCAACAACCCCTCTCTCCTCCTCCGAGCGCCCCATTGCGCGACCGCTTGCGTTATCACTTTCCCTACGATCTCAACGGCAAATTCCCCGCATACATTTGGCAGACATGGAAGTACACTCCCGAGTCGATGTTTTTCTCGGAGGAACTGCGTGACCCCGAGGCCAGCTGGACCGAGCTCCACCCGGGGTTTGTTCATGAGGTCATTCCCGACGATACCTTGCGACATTTGATCAAGTATCTTTATGGATCGGTGCCGGACGTATACGAGGCCTTTGAATCCATGCCTTTGCCTGTCCTCAAGGCCGACTTCTTCCGGTATCTCATTCTTCTGGCGCGGGGCGGGATCTACAGCGACATTGACACAACGGCGTTGAAGCCCGCGTCGGACTGGCTGCCTTCGGAGCTGGATCTGACGACCGTCGGGGCTGTCGTCGGGATTGAGGCGGATCCAGACCGTCCCGACTGGCACGACTGGTATGCGCGCCGAATCCAGTTCTGCCAGTGGACTATCCAGGCCAAACCGGGCCACCCGATCTTCCGGGACATTGTCACCTACATTACCGAGGAGGCGCTGCGAATGAAGAAGGCGGGAATCTTGAAAGTCGGAAAGATGGATAAGACGATCATGGAGTTCACGGGACCGGGGGCCTGGACCGACGCTGTCTTCCGGTACTTCAATGATCCCGAGTACTTCAACATTGAGCCGGGTTCTACCTTGAATGTCACTTACGAGGACTTTACCAATTTGGAAGGGTACAAGAAGGTGGGGGACGTGGTGGTACTACCTATTACGAGTTTCAGTCCGGGTGTGCACCAGATGAATGCAGGAGATATCGACGACCCGATGGCATTCGTCAAACATAACTTCGGAGGTCAGTTGCGGTTGCTTTTTCGTACCTATCACTCAGGATGACTAACACTCTGATAGGTACATGGAAGACCGATCCGTCTCTTTAAGTTGGCCCTTCGGATCCATATATTCGACGCGTGCTCGGCGCGGCGCTTGCTGCTCAAGACGATGAACCAGGCGACTGGGCGCCTGATGTCGACCTGGCGACTGCGTTAGATGCCAGTATTGACTCGGCTATTAGACCGAGAATCGCAAACCCACATGGAACAGCCATCCAGGCTGAGCTCTTCTCGAGCGGCAACCGAAGCCATGAACATGGCTAATGTACTTTACTCATTCGAACCTGGCCTGCTCTGTACAACCCGACCCGACAGGATCAACGCCATCGGCCACGATAGGCTCTACCATCATGGCAAAGCCATGAGAAGGACATATTCTCTACCCTCTTGTACAACTGTTGGCAACACGTACCACGTTATAGACAAGCCAACAAACTGGCCATACGGTGAACAAATTGCACCAAACCATACTCGTCACTTTCGACGCACCCAAGTCCTGCTCAGGACAGCCATGCTTGATTCTGCGTGTTCATATCACGATTTCCCTTACCTCACGCGATGTTGATTTCCCGTCGTGGGTTTACTGGCTATTCATGTATCTATGTGACTTCTCCCCAACAAACCTATATCTATTTAGTGTTATGATGCCCCACCGGCCTGGGAATGTAATAATATTTTCTTCTATACTTCCTGTCGCAACATACTAGGTAGGTAGCCACAAAAAGTGATGGTTTTGTGCAGCCACTCGGAGTGGCTCCCGGACTGCTCTGGCTCGCTCAGTCAGCAATCTCTGGGCTCGGAGCAGCTCCCGTGAGGAACAACAGCCTCTTAAACCGAACTATATCAAGTATCCACGTATATGGACCGTACGCTTCGCTTCTCACTTACAATTTCCGCCACTCCTCATAGCACTTAAGCAATTGCACTCAACGTTGCACAGCTTGTCAATTTGCCGTCACTTGTATCGCCACAGCACACAACCTCTACATCCAACCACCTCTGAACAATGTCGACCAACCCAACCAGCGAGCAAACGCTCAGTATCATCGGCTGCGGTAAGCCTTTACCCTTCCCTCTTGCTCCTTGAGAGAAAACTAACATCCGACAAAGGAAACATGGGCACAGCCATCCTCAACGGCCTCCTGAAAGCCCAGACCCAAGCCCAGACCACACCCCCAAGCACCAGCACCAGCACCAGCACCAGCACGACCCCAGCGCTGCCCAAATCCTACATCGCAACCACCCGCAGCGCCACCTCGTACACCAAACTCACCAACCTGTTCACCCCCTACCTCACGCCCACCGACCCAGACAGCCCCAAGGTAACCATCCTGCACGGACCGGACGCCAACCTCACCGCCATCCAAAAAGCCACCACGATCCTGCTCTGCATCGACCCCGCCGACATCCCTACCTTCTTCGCCGACGCGACCCTCCGCGCCGCCCTCTCCGGCAAATTCCTCATCAGCATCGCCGCAGGCTGGACCCGGTCCGCGCTCTTCAACCTCGTGCGGGACGTCCACGATCTCCAGATCATCCGCACCCTGCCCAACATGGCCGCGCTCGTGGGGCAGAGCGTCACCGCGATCGAGGTGCCCCCTGGCGCCCCTACTGATACCAGCGAGGGCAGAGCCAACCCCACCGACGCACACATCACCCTCACCCAAACGATCTTCTCGGCCGTGGGCCAGACGCAGCTCATCCCGCCGGCCCAGATGACCGCCTTCACGGCGGTGGGGGGCTCGACGCCGGCGTTCGTGGCCGTGTTCGCGGACGCGCTGATCGAGGGCGCTGTGGCGATGGGGTTTCCGCGGGGAGATGCAAGGACCACGGTGCTGCAGGCGTTGAGGGGGGCGACGGCGTTGATGCAGGAGGGCGGGCTGCATCCTGCTCTCCTCAGGGATCAGGGGACGTCGCCCGGGGGGTGTACGATGGGCGGGTTGATGGTGTTGGAGGAGCGGGGGTTGAGGGGCACGGTGGCGCGGGGGATGAGGGAGGCGGTTTCGGTGGCGGGGTTGATGGGGAGGCAGGCGGAGGGGGGGGAGGGGTTTGTTAATGGGACGCGGTAGGTGGCTTTGGGCTGAGGGAGCGAGGGAGGGAGTTTGTGGTGATAAGGTAGTAGGGTATAGTGGCTTGGAGGGGACTGGCGTGGTGTACTGTACTACGCGCGATCCGATCAAGTAAAACCATCCCATCCTGAACCGTGATAACTACCATAGCCCAAATGAGACTGGATTCTCCACTGCAAAGGGTCTCTATTCTTCTCACCCATCACTAACAGCGTTGACTCCCGCAGAAGCGGTAGACCTATACCTACTACTTACTCCTGCAGCCCAATCCTCGACCTAGAGCAACAAACACAACACCCAATGCCTACCTAATCATATCCCACCATCAACATTAAGCTTCCATCCCTATGCAGCAGCAATCGACCCAGCGCCAGCAGAACGACCCGTCTCTGTCTCCGCCCGCATCGCCATCATCGGCCCCGACTCAACCACCGCCTGCTCCCTCTCCATCCTCCGCCGAGGTAGCTATATCCAGATCTCTCTACAGGGTGCTGTTGCTATTCCCCCCTCCCACCTTCCATCTACACCCGTCCTCCCTCCCCGCAACAACCCAACCACCCCCCACTCTCCCAAACTATACATACCCCGTCACCCGACCCTCCTCCTCCCGCTCCACTCCCCCCCAAACCTCGCGCGGAACCGCAGCATCCCACACCGCAACCAGCAAGGCCGATGGCCCCTCCGCACAGATCGGACGAGGCAGCCCCCCCTGAACCCACCTGCATTTCCTCTACTTCTACTCCTATGGGAGGAGGGGGTAGCGAGTGAAGCAGAGCCCGAACCGCAGCCCATTGGCGGTGGCGTAGCGGTGCACTTTCCGCGAGGCCTACGGCGCGGCTGGTAGCGGGTTTTCCTGTGGGTTGAGTTGGAGTTAGGTGGGAGTGGTAGATCTTTGCGTGGCCGTGGCCGTGGCAGGCGGCGAGCGGCGAGGTGGAGGGCGTGGCTGTGGGTGCTGAATAAGGGTGTTGACCAGTTAGTTATGTGAGGTGTGTAGTCGGTATGTGGCTTGGGGGAGGGTCTGGGTTTGGTTAGTTTGTAGTCTGAGAGAGATGCGTGGTGTTGTGTTGGTGTTGTGTTGGTGTTGTGTTGGTGTTGTGGTGGTGTTGAGGCCAACATGATTGCTATCGGGATTGTTTGTGGGGTTCATTGTGTATGTATTGTTGTATGCATAGGATGGGTTGGTTGTTGGGAGTGTGTGCGGATGCAGACCCGAAGGACGGAGCGGAGAGCGGCTGGACTAACCGCTGTTGCTGGGATCCGCTAGTACTGGTATATACCGCTGCGGTACAGCTGCATTACGGAGGGTGTATCCGAGGGTATTGGAGATTGAAGTATACAGACACCAAGTATAACTCCTCCTTCCCCGCATCGATCTCTCGTAAAGGCAAACTTATCCCAGGTAGGTGGAGACACTCCCGAGTCATAAAAGATAGACAGTCATAGTCGTTCTAGTCATTCTATTTGATAATATCCGTGTAGATAGCTAAGATCGCCCGAGCCCAGCCCGGATCCTCCGCTTCACCTCCGCCTTGAGCGCCGCGTGCTCGGTCATCGTCCTGGCCACCGCATCGCGATTCTCCGCCGCCCTCCGCAGCAGGAAACTCAGACACTCGCTCATACTACCCCAGTGCAAGCACTTATAGACGGCTGGGGGGGAAGCAGCCCCTTGGTTCGCGCCCGTGAGCTGCAGCAGGCCGTAGGTCACCCCGTCCGCCATCCCCATCAGCTGCCCGAACTCGACCTTGCACGTCGGGAGGTTGGCCCGGACGCGCGCCTCGTGCAGGTTGTGCGCCGCCACCGCGCTGTCGATATTGTGCGTGGCCAAGAACAGGTCGGTGGCAGGAAACGGGCAGTCTTGTGTTGCCCCGAACCCCTTGTAGTTCTGCTGCAGGATCCCCCGCACGATCGTGTCGTAGGCCCGGTCAGTGTCCTCCTTCGTGTCGTGAATTAGGTGTCGCGGATCGCTGCTCATGTAGGCGCCGCGGACGAGTTTCAATCCCAGGGTGAAGCCTTCTTCGTTGGCGAGCTTCAGGTGCGCGGCGATCAGTTCCGGGGCGGCTTTGAGGTAGGCTTGGAAGGTGTTGTAGATGACCGCCTTGCCGTGGCGATTGTACTTGCGCATTATGTCCAGGGTCAGGCTATGGATGCCCCCAAGGAAGGCGTGTTGCTCTGCGTCCATCAGCAGCCGGGCTTTCTTCTCCACCACGCGCTGGCACACTTCGTCCAGCGCCTCGACCATCTGGGCGGGGACGGGCTGGCCTGCGGCAAAGGCCTGCGTCACCTTAGGGCCGGCACCAGTGAGTCTGATCCACTGTTAGTATTTCGTCCAAAATAGCAATGGTCATTTCTAGAAACACTCACTTCGGGGCAAGGAAGTCTCCCGGGCCAAGCATGTCCACCGTGCGGAGAACATCTTCCCTCCACGCTTGGATATGCTCGCAGGTCTCTGTCGATGCAGCCTTCTCCAAAGCCCTCGTATTAGCGAACCGTTGCTTCTCCGTGCGCGAGTCCTGCACCGTCTCCCGCGTGTAGGTCAAGATCACTCCCTTCACTCCCGTGCTCTTGATCTGCTGGATGGTTCGGTGCACCTCGGCTTCCTTCTCTCCCGCACAGAAGTGGTCGTAGAATGTCTTTCGTAGGAACCAGTAGATGAGAGGGTTTCGTTCCACATCCAACAGAAGGCTGCGGGACTTGGAGAGAAAAGATAGGATGGATAAGCTGGGCCCTAATAGAAGCGGGTGGGAGGAGACGGTCGTCACCAGGAGTGACCGCAGCAGCACGCCTGTCGGAATGACTGAGTGGGCAGAAGCAGACGCTGCGGCCTTCTTGACCTCGGCCGGCGTGTTGGCCACCACGGGGGCGACGCTCTCTCCACTTATGGACGACCGCGTGGAGACATATCGCTGATGTCGGAGGGCCAAAGGAGCTCGGAATACGGCAATGCCTGTGGTGCCTAGGCTGGAGGTTGCCCTTAAGGAGGCAGACATTGCTTGAGATAGTCAATAATAGTAGAGAGGAGTGATGATGCGAAGACAGACTCTTCCTCATGCCACAGCCATCTTTATAGCCCTCTTGTAGGGTTTGCGGGGTACATGATATGCTTGCAGCGACTAGGACTGATAAGGATGGGGGGTGATAATCTCAATTCCATCTATTGCTAAGCTATCAGACCCCGTGTGCGAGGCCCTGCTGCACGTTGAGCAGCGGAGTGTCTCATCCATGTCCAGACAGGCACTGACCACTCGTAACATGCCCCGGATCGACCGTAGTGGAGAGCAGTTTGATACGGTACGGCATTGAAACACGACCCAGCTGCAGGGTTATCATCGGAGGAAGAGCCGATGGGCAGGCAACTACTGATTAGGACTCGGCGCTGCAACCCGTCAGTGGGAGCTTGAGGGGTAGAACCAAGGGGGTTCTGTTGGGAAGTACAGTAGCCCCATGTAGTAGTGAGTACTAGAGTATCGGATATCAGAGATCAGAAAGGCTTGGTTGAAGCATCGCAGTCATGGTCATATTACATCGACGCGGTTGCTCAGACGAGCTCTCTTCGAAGTATGGACAGACTCTGGAAAATAGCAGGAGTCCCTCGCTGCGAGAGTGACGCTGTTGGTATCGGTGAATACTCCAGGGCATGACTGAAAGAGGCGAGTCTTCCGGCACATGTCTTGCATAACTCGTGCATCCTATCGAGCTGATAAGAGAGTCAATCCAACTCCTCAGTCAGAGATAAGATAAGGGTTATGGTTCGATGTTGGTGCAGCCATGTCGCAAGCGCCAAGTGAAGTGAGTGACGATGATGATAATGATGATGATGATGATGAAGGAGAGGAATTGAAATGACTTGTTCCCATCTCAGCATCTTCCGTGCAGCCTCCTTGCTCTGCATTCCAGTGTCTTTCATCTTGCCAGTGTTGATGACCATCAGACCCCGCATGAAGCAGAGGGAAAGCCGTGAGAAACCAAGAGAATCCCGCCCCGCATTTTGCCACGAGCAACCGAAGACCGCATCAAACAACTCTTCTTCCTGCTTCTCTTTTCTTGCTTCCTGCTTCCTGCTTACTTCAAGTTGTCCCTCTCGAAACACCCTGAAAACGACAGAATCATGAGCGTCAGAAGTCGAACCGGTTGCTTGAATTGCAAGAGTACGGGTCCCTGCTACCCCATTGAACTCGTCCCCATTGTTTTCTCCACTGACCTGTCCCCGAATCTACAGAACGGAAACGCCGTTGCGGAGGTCGGTTCTCGATCCCGTCCCTCATTCACCCTGACGCTTGCTCACACGACTACAGAAGAGAGACCTGCGTGTAGAAACTGTGAGGTCCGAGGATTCGACTGTTCTTATCTGTTCGAAACGACGCAACCGGCGCCATTGCGCTTCAAGATCTCTCTCAGTATGCGCACCGCCCATCCCCGTGAACTACCGAGCAGCAGTAACCATTCTCCCACAGGCAAAGGACACCGATCTTCTCCAAAACGACGAAACCGTTGGCAATTCCTCAGCGTATCCTACCATGATGCAGATGTATTATTATGCGAACAGTATCACCATCTTCCGACACCGTCCTCGAAACAAAGTATAGATCGCGACAATCAACCAGACGATTGCCCCACCAGACTCAACACGGAACCTTCGCCCTTCACAGCTCTTCTGATAGACTGCAACGAGCTCGAAACCCAGTTATTCCAATACTGTAAGCAAACTACACCCAAGCGCAGCTAACAACCACGATCAAGGACAGAAAGCTCACAACCACAGATCTGCAGGTCATATGCAAAGTCCGAGTCTTCCAAGACGAGCCGCGCAACAAATTCCGCTCGCTCGTCATCCCCTTCTGCTCGCGCCGCAAGCCCCTCTGGTACGCCGTGCTCTCGATGAGCGCGAACGACCGCCGAGCAGAAGAGGCGGTGACGACGACCACCATCAACTACGCCCAACTCTCCCTCTCCTACAAATCCCTCGCCCTGCAGCTCCTCCGCGAGTCCCTCACACCGATGGAGGACGTGAACGAAGCCCTCATGACGTGTCTGATCCTATGCTCGCTCGAGATCGCCTGCGGCTGTCGCCCGGACTGGGTGCGCCACGCGCAAGGCGCCTTCGCCATCATCAACAGCTACGGCTCAGCCATCGACCCGGAGATCTTCTTCTTCACCCAAAGTTATTTCCAGTCTCGCGCCCTTTTCTTCCGCACCACAGGCTGCAACCCACCGCAGCATCAGACAACAACAACCACCACCACCACCACCCCGCCAGACCATCACCCCTCCACCCTCTCCAAAACCCCAACACCACCACCACCAAAAACGACCACCTCGCAGCACCTGCCCCCCGAAATCTTCCCCTGGGACATCTACCTCCACGACACGGCCCACAAAACCACCTACCAACCGCACATCGGCTGCTCGCTCGGCCTCCTGGACATCATCGCGCGGGCCACCGACCTAGTCACGCACAAACAACACCTGCGCTCCAGCGGCACCAGCTCGCTCGCCTCCGAGGGCGCAATGATGCACCAAGCGATGCAACTGCGCAGCGAGCTCGACGCCCTGGCCGAGGTATATCCCGCCCCTCCCGCCCCCACGGAAGACGGCGAGTACCTGGCCACCTGCGGCCAGTGCTTCCGGCTGGCGGCCGACCTCTACCTCCAACTGGCCTGCGACATCCCGCTGACGCAGCCAACGCTGCAGAAACTGCTGGGCCGGCTGCTCGACCGTATCGGCCGGGTCATCCGCGAGGACCAGGAGCGGCAGCTGTTCCCCATGTGGCCGCTGTTCCTGGCGGGGTGCCTGTCGGCGGCGGACGAGGCGCGCGTGCGCGTGCTGACCTACTTCTCGTATCTGACGCAGTCGTGGCCCGTGAGCAACGTGGGCGTGGCGCGCGAGGCGATGGAGACGGTCTGGAAGTACCGGGATCTCAATCCGCATGATTCTCCGGCAAGTGGGCTAGATTGGCAGGGGATTCTGGGGCGGATGAATTGGACACTTGCCTTGTCGTAGTTTTCTTTCTTCTTCTTCTTTTTTTTTCGGCCGTGGTGAAAGTGTATTTATGTATGTATGTATGATGATGAGGATGATGCAAATGTGATCAATGTCATGTCATTTCCTGTCCTGGAACAACGACCGTTTCTCGTTTCCAATCAATCAACAAGTAAGAGAAAACCAAACACCAAAGAATACTACCTATGTATTTACAACCTCGCCCCGGGAACCGGCTTGATCTCCGCAAACTCCCTCGTCGCCCCCAACCGCCAACTCACGTCCCCGCCCGCCCACTTCTTCCCCTTCTCCTTCTCGTCCTGGCCCACAGCTCCCTTCCACCGCCACCGCTTCTCGCCTTGCTGCCCCTCCTTCACCAACTGTGCCACCCACTCGCCCACAATCGGCAACATCTTGAACAAATGCCCGGAGTCCCCAGAGCAAAGCGCCACACTCCCCGCGGACCCGGGCACGAAATCCACGATAAAGTCCGAGTCCGCCGTATCCGCGAACCAGCACAGCTTCTTCTGCACGAACGGCCGCTCCGCCAACGCCGGCAGCGCGTGCTGCAGCAGCTTGCGCATGCGGGCCTCATCCTCGGGCGGAAGCACATTATCGCTCTCGCGGAGGGTCTTTGGCGGCAGCGACACGCCCGTGGCCGGGTCGGTATTGATGTAGCCGCCGCCCATGGGGCAGATCTTCAGCAGGTTGGTGGCCGGGTCGGGCTCGAACAGGAAGCCCAGGTCGCGGGCGTAGGTGACGGGGATGCCGCGGAGGGCGCTGGTCTCGTCGTCCGTGAGGCGCACGTGCCCGATGGACCAGGATTTCGCGACGACCTGCGGCCCGATCTCCGGCAGCAGGGTGCCGGCCGCGGCGCCGACGGCCACGATCACCAGCCGGCAGCTGTGGACTTGGCCGGACTGCGTGCGCACGCCCGTGACCTTGCCGGGGGAGGTGGCCACCCCGCCGCGCAGGAGGGTGGTGATCGTGCCGCGTTCGGCGCCGAGGAAGAATTTCACGCCGATGGATGCCGCGGCCTCGTAGACGGCGCGCAGCGCGTTGGCCGAGTGCGCGTAGCCCGCGAGCGGGTTGAAGTAGCCCTTCCACCCTGGTAGCGGCCCGTTCAGTTGCCACGCGACGTCGCGTGGGATCTGGGTGGGGTTGGTGATCGTGAGGAGTTTGTGGGCGAAGAGCGGGTGGTTCTTGATCGTGGCGAGGAAGCGTTCGAGGGTTTGGGTTGCTTGCTGCGGGCCGGTGCCGGAGACGCAGTGCAGGAAGCCTGTTTGGTGGTAGTGTGGTGCGTATAGCGGGGTTTTCCAGCCGGCGATGGCTTTCTGTTTGTGTGGTTGCGGTTAGAATGGATGCGATGCGCGGTTGAGGGTGATGGGGCACAGGAGAAGCATACAAGGGTCAGTTCCGTGTACCACGGGTCTTCATATTCGGCGCGCACGATCTTGTTGATGTCGTATCCGGCGGAGAAGCGCCCAGGAACCTGGTCGTCGCGCTCGAAGACGGAGATGTCCGTGTATCCCTCCGTGGCCAGTTGGAGGGCCGTGGAGAGACCGAACACGCCGGCGCCGATGATGACGATGGGATCGGATTTGGAGACTGGCATGATGTTTGACAGTAAACTGAGGATGAGGTTGGGTTTCGAGATGCGGATGCTTGCGTGGGACGTGCGGGATATATATTTGTCTCGTCAATGATGGCCCTCGCCCTCTTGGAGTCATCACACCACTCTGGCCGTGCTATGAGCTGTATCTGCACTCGTTCGCATACTGGATGCGCGCACAGCTCGCTGTTGCAGTTAGTTTATCCCCCAGTCCACCGGCAGGTGGAGCTTATCGGTGCTCACTGATTGTGATCGCGGATCCAAGCATGCGGGTTAGTTTATGCGATACGAGCGGGATACGCAGCCGACGGTGGAGGCCGTTTTGATACGGTATCACACAAAGGCGGGGGTTAGCGTGGTTGAGGATCGGCGGTTAGCGCATGCGATCCATCCTTGCAGGAGAAATGCACTTGCACCGCAAGGACCCTTCGGGGTTATCAACAGAAATGATTAGATAGATTGTCCAGAAATCTATGCATTGCAATCTCTCGACGGGTTGAACATGGAAAGATAAGGGAACAAAGAGCACGCGTCAAAGTAGCAGACTGCTGGTCTCCTGGGTTGCCAGTCTTATTTGAGGTGGTGCAGAGTAAACAAAATAAAGTCAGCCGCGGAGGGAGGGGAAGACTGGTCTGCTTAGTCACTCCTGCTGCCTTGCCATTGCTTTGTAGCTGTAGAGGCATTAGAGCTGGGACACAGGGAACATTTGCCATCGCATTAGATATGACAGCTAGCTCTGCCAAGTGAGTGAATAATAATTTGGTGATTCTAAATCACGAAACTTGACTAGAAGCAAACCACCACATGACCAGAAGCCCAAAGGCAGACTACGCTGGCAGTTGGAGGTGTAGCACGGGCCCAGCCTTATTTTGTTAAAACAGGATGCAGGGAGCATATATTGAGAACAAACTCTATTCAAACTTCATGAACATGATATCGATTTTGTACAAGTATATAACCGCAAAACCACCAAGCTTATTCCTCTTACTCGTTGCTAGGATACTTGAATCCGGTCAAAGGGAAGAACTCCTCCTTGATAGTCCGTGGGCTGGTGAACCGCAGAAGAACGTTGGAGCTACCTGCCTTATCGTTGGTGCCACTGGCACGGCTACCACCGAACGATTGCTGGCCAATCAACGCAGCCGTAGTCTTGCAGTCTATGAGAAGGTCAGTAAGAAACTCAAGGTATAAACAAGGCAGGAGACTCACTGATGTAGAAGTTGCCAGCGGAGTACCGCAGGGTATCCTCGGCTTCACGAATGGCCTTGCGATCAGCAGCAAACACGGCGCCGGTCAGAGCAAAGCCACCGCCGCTTTGGTCAACCTTCTTCAGGATAGACGACCATTCGGCATCGGGGTAGACGTAGACTGTCAACACTGGCCCGAAGATCTCGGTGTCAAACAGAGGGTGGTCAATGTCCTTGGCCCGGTACACAGTGGGGTGAACATAGTATCCAGTGGAGTCATCATAGGTACCGCCGGCAAGCAGCTCTAGCGAGGAGTCCTTGTTGCTAGCATCGATGACCGACTTGATCTTCTCGAAAGATGCCCGGTGAATGACAGGTCCCATGAAGGCTCCCAAGTCCTCCGGTGAGCCGATGGTGATTTCATCGATCTCGGACTTCAATTTGGCCAGGAACTCTGCAGCCCGTGATTCAGGGAGGTACAGTCTCGACGTGGCGGAGCACTTCTGGCCTTGATACTCGAATGAACCGCGAAGAGTGTGGTATACGGCGCTAGTGATGTCGGCAGTGGGGTGGACCAGGTGAAAGTTCTTGCCACTGGTCTCACCCACGAGCCGAGGGTAGTCCCTGTAGACCTTCTTGCCTATGTTGGCACCGACTTGGCTGTACAAGGACCGGAAAACATCCGACGAGCCAGTGAAGTTGAGACCCGAAAACTCGCGATGGTTCAGGATCGTTTGGGTGATTTGTTCCGCATCTCCAGTGACAAACTGAATAACGTTGGGAGGCAGCCCAGCCTCTAGGAGAATCTTATATACGATCTCGCTAGCATAGACATTTGATGGGGAAGGCTTCCAAATCACCACATTGCCCATCAAAGCTGGGCCGCTGATCAGGTTGCCGCCAATCGCAGTGAAGTTGAACGGGGACACTGCGTAGACAAATCCTTCCAGAGGCCTGTAGTCAACGCGCCTGGAAAATAGTCAGCAGCAGATCATTGATCAGGGAATCTCGTCGAACGTACGTCCACATCCCATCCGTGCCGCGGTCAGGCTGCTTCTCCAGCAACTCCGCAGCATAGTTGCAGTTCAGGCGGAAGAAATCAGCGAGCTCGGCAGCAGCGTCGATCTCGCCCTGCCACACATTCTTTCCCTGGCCAAGCATCGTAGCGGCGATGAGCTCATATCGGTACTTTCCAGCCACAAGCTCTGCGGCCTTGAGGAAGATTGCGGCACGATCCACGAAGGGGGTGTTCTGCCATGACTCCTTGGCCTTGAGAGCCAAGTCGATAGCTTCGTTGACTTGTGCGGGACTGGCCAACGGGTAGTTGGTGAATGTGGTAGCGTGTTCTGCGGGAAGCGGCTGGTCGGTTGCCTTTGAGACGGCTTGCGCCTTGCCATCGATGTATATTTGGCTCTTGAGCGGTAATTGAGATTTGAGTTCCTTCAATTTCTCCTCAATTTTGGCTCGCTCGGATGAGCCCTTCACATAATCAAGCTGGGCAGGTTCAGCTTCTCGTTTTCGATGTTCGCCATGACGAGTCAACTTACATTCGGCTCATTTCGAGCGGCTGGAAGTCGGAAAGGAACGGTGGCAGCACCGCGGACCTGTGTGCGGGAGGTGCGTGCAGCACGGCGCACTAGAGAGCGCATGCTCGGCGAGGGCTGAGAGACAGAGAGTTTGAATGCCATTGTGATGAATTTAGGTGAAGGGAGAGGAGAGAAGGTGGCGGTGGTAGTGAGGAGGTAATCGTGAACACCAATGAAGATGCAACGACCATTGGCGATGCAATGGGATTCTTATGCCTCATGATTCTCATCTACCGAGCCGGAGCTGATGCCAATGGATGTAGATCCGAGAAGAGAAAGTGGATCAGTTCGGGGACGCAATCCGTCGGTGCAGGAGGAGGTGAGAAGGTGAGGAGAATGCGGGGAGTCCAGCCGAGGTGGAAAGAAGTTAACTTACCTTACAGCGGGTAGACTAACAAACGGCCTCAGATCCCGCTAATACCTTATCAAGTAATGCATGCATCTACAGCTATCAGGCATGATACGATGACACTCTCGATCAATTGGTCTTATCTGATGATTGACACAACACAAAAATCAAAAATTCATCATCCGTGTCCGAATTACACCTGTATTATACCATTGACTAAGTCTCCCTCATTCGAGCTTGTCATGACCAAGTCACACATGAATTCAACTTGTAGTCCAGGTAGTGCAGCCAGAGGGCACCATGCGTAGCTTAACCTTCTAATTCTGTAGGCAACTTTCTACGGAGTCAATCTTGACACTCTGCTAGGTCTATCACTCTTCCTTGTACACTACAACCGCTCACAGTAGCCCCTCTGTTTAGATCAGAAACCCAAGAATCTTAACGTGTGTGCGCCTTCCTTGTTTCTCATACTTCTCAGAAATCAGAGCTTCACAATGTCACCAGATCGTTCAACTTTACAGCAAACCTTCCATACCACCAGATGGAACAGCGAGTTACAAAAACACCTTGCTGGGGATATTGCTGCCGGTGTAATATCCGCTACATTCATCTCCCCAATTGTTACGATCATTGACCGGTCAGTCACTCATGATTGCGAAAATCTTCTGGCTGCTAACACCACCCGTTAGGACGATTGTTGAAAGACTCGCATTGAACCGACCACTATTGCGAACACTGGGCATCAACGCAGTCTGCTCCATCTTTCAACCTCGAAAATTCTACGTCTCAAAGCCGTTCTTCATTGTCTGGTCACTATACGCAGCTACCTATTGCACCGCAAATATCACGGATACCTGCATCCACCATCTTCCCTCCCTCACCGACAAGAAATCGACGGCGAATCTCGCCGCGACGCTAAGCTTCTTGCCCACATATGTCGTGAATGTATATCTGGGGATCATGAAGGATGTCAACTTTGCTCAGTATTATGGTCGTTCGAGTACCGCCGTTGCAGTCGGTGCTCGCGTCCCACGAGCAGCATATATGTCCCTGTTGTTCCGGGACAGTGTCACCATCTTCAGCTCATTCAACCTGGCGCCATGGATGGCCTCATCCGTCCCGGATTGGGTTGCGACCGGGCCGCACACCAAGGCCATGATCACTCAGCTAGTTCTGCCTGCTGCCGTTCAGTTTGCCAACACTCCACTACACCTCTTCGGGTTGGACCTGATCGCCCGACCCCAGAGCCAAGGATTGGTGGAGAGGTGGAGTCGGGTCCGACGGGATTGGGCTTCTTCATCAACCGTCAGGGCTGCCAGGGTCCTGCCGGCCTTTGGAGTAGGCTGCATAATGAATACCGAGCTACGAGACCTGGTGCACCACAGTTAGCCATAATAGATACCGCGTTCAGCCAAATACAGGGAAACTACGCTTGATAGACATGTCCGAAATCGCTAAATAAAGGCCATGTAGTGGCAAAAAGCCCAAGGATGTACGAATCCTGACCACTCGATAAATATCTGTCCTGAGCAGCTTCATTGAACGGCGGCTACGCTAGCCGTCGCTGGGTCCCTACAGCAAGGGAACTGGAACCTCCTCATCCTCCGAATTGAGGAAAGTGCGGGGAAATCATAACCAGGAGAAGGCTGGGCTTATCTCTTTCGTGAAGGCGCATGCACTAACCTCATGTCCAAGGTTTGACTATCCGTGGTTGCAGCCGTCCATCCGCAGCCATTGACATACAACCAACCATGATTGACAGACCTTAACTAGCTTCGAGGTCAGTATCGGCTCAGTGGCTGAGTATGCTTGACCTCGAGTCGAACAGAAACAACGGATTTCCACGATACCTTATCACTCCAATGTGGAGAAGCCCGGAACCCAGCGGATCCGCTGGAGCTGATGGTGGACATTGCAGGAGTCAGCTTTCAGCATATGCCAAGGGTGCTAATCAAACCGTCCCTCGTCTTATTGGCCGTGATACTCGCATTGGGACACTTCCCCAGATACGCTATGCTTATCCCCACGTTTCCAATCTGTTTACCGTATCAGAATCCTTTGATATGCGGACTAGAGTTATAGCTTGGTCATACCTGTCTACAGCCTCCACCAAGTCCAGAACTGTATGAACATACAGTATCAGTGGTGGACACAGGGCACCAATTGAAGAGGGCTACCAGTATCCATACGTCATGGTAACAAGGGATACCGGTCGAAGATAACGCTCATGACCCCAGCGATCTCAGATTTCCAGGCTGCACCATGACTTCTTCAGACATAGGTCATGCATACCTCCCTCTTTATCTGCCGGAGAATGCACTTATACCTTTTTGGGACCACTATATCCTAATAAGCCGGTTCTCCCTCACCCTGAAATGAGAGGTGGTGTTATCCTCTCTTTGTGACCTACATAAATCTTCGCAGTTAGCACTCGAAGTCGTTGCGCTCTTTCTTCCTACTAAGCTGCATTATACTTCTTCCAAACTTGATTGAAAATGGCTGTGAGTAGTGAGTTTGGGACTCTCGCGGAGACTACCGTACCCAATGCATATGACATGCCCCCCGACGAGGAAAAGAAGCAACCTCTCGATGATGCTCCAGAGGAGGACCCTTTCGGTAATGAAGAGTGTGCAGAAGTCAAATATCGCACACTGGGTTGGTGGTAAGTCTTTGCCTGTTCTCGATTCTTCATTGTAACAGACTGGGCTGACCAGGGTAACCTTCATACAGGCGCTGTGGAATACGTGAGACTTGCCTGCAGTCATTGCTTTATCCAAGATAATCTAACACCGAGATGCGCAGTCATGGTGGCAGAGAACGTATCGATAGGGATTCTATCTCTTCCCTCTGCTGTTGCAACCTTAGGGCTAGTCCCGTGAGTCGGCCGTCACCACGCCAAAGACTGATCACTGATCCTTAGTAGCTCGATTATTCTGATGATCGGTGTATCGTTCATTGCATGGTACACGGCGTACCTCATCTATCAGTTCAAGATGCGATACCTCCACATTCATAGCATGGCAGATGCCGGCGAGGTCATCCTAGGCCGATTCGGGCGCGAGCTGCTGGGAGGCGGCCAGCTACTCTTCTTGGTGTTTGTGATGGCCAGCCATATCCTGACTTTCACTGTTGCTATGAATACGATCACCGACCATGGTACCTGCACCATTGTCTTCGGTATCGTTGCGCTGGTTATCAGCTGCATTGGAAGTCTACCGCGGACTATGGGAAACGTGTATTGGATTTCCTTCGCATGTAAGTCATATCCCAGTCCCACTCCTACCTTGAACGGGAAGAGAACTGAGAGCATGATGAAGCTTTCCTCAGCATCGCCATCGCGGTCATCGTGACCATGATTGCCGTTGGAGTGCAAAACACAGGCCACATCCATCTCGACGCTGTTACACACCACAGCTTCAAGACCGAGTTTCTGGCTGTCAGCAACATTCTGTTTGCCTACGGTGAGTTTCCCTTCTTCAAGCTGCACAGTACGCCCCTGACAACATACAGTGGGCCATGCGTCCTTCTTCGGGTTCGTTTCGGAGATGGAGCAACCCCGGGAATTCCCCAAATCCATCGCCGTCCTCCAGATCATCGACACCTCGCTCTACATCGTCAGTGCCGTCGTGATCTACCGCTACGTGGGCGTCGACGTCGCCTCCCCAGCCCTGGGCTCGGCAGGACTCGTCATGAAGAAAGTAGCCTACGGCCTGGCCCTCCCAACCGTCAGTCCTCCTCACTATCGCACGAATCTCCACCCCGACAACAAAGCTTCAAACCGCTAACATCGAGCCCCTTCTTCTTGCAGATCCTAATCGCCGGCATCGTCAACGGCCACGTCGCCGCGAAATACGTGTATGTCCGCCTCTTCCGGGGCACGAACCACATGCACGAGACGACGCTGCTGTCCAAGGGATCCTGGGTGGCCATCGCCCTCATCCTCTGGGTGGTCTCATGGGTCATTGCCGAGTCTATCCCGATCTTCAACGACCTGTTGAGTTTCATCGTATGCATCACCCACCTCTCTGATACTTTTCCACCCCTCAACTAATCATCATCTGTCCTACCCTACTCTAGACCGCCCTCCTCGGCTGCTGGTTCGCCTGTAAGTCCATATCCCATACCCCCAGCCCTCGACCACCCATCCAAACCCACGCAGCATATCCCTAACATGACCCGCAACAAACCCACAGTCGGATTCCCAGCGATCTTCTACTTCGTCCTCAACAAAGGCCACTGGTTCTCCTCGCCCTGGAAAACCTTCCTCAGCGTGATCAACCTCTGCATCTTGGGGATCGCTTTCGCGACGGTACGTTGCCTGCTTTGCCTGCCCCCCCCCCCCGCCGCCCTTCTCTTGCTGTTCAAACCGCACGTCAACTGTCCCTAACACGGCGTAAATCCATCACAGTGCGGCCTAGGCCTCTACGTCTCCGGCGACGCGATCAGCAGAGACAGCAATAACTCTGTATGGACTTGTGCCAGTAACGGGGTTTGAAGCTTGGGGAATTTTGGGGGGAATTGTCACGTTCGTCTATCACTTGTTGGATTGTTCTTGTTTTGGTTTTGTTTGCTGGATCAAACTGGGATATTTGGTTTTTACCTGTTGCATGGTGTATGTAGTTAGGGGTTTGCGTATATTTGCTTGTCTGAATCCGATGTTTTTATCATTTCGGTCTAACATGTCTCTTGGGTGCGCTTTTGGTGCGCAAGTTATTGGGCTCGTTTTTTTGTGTAAGGTTGAGGTGCTATATCAGTGGTTTGTTGTTTACTTCAAGTGCGACTTGAATTGAATTGGATTGCATTTTGTGCTAGTCGAACTATAGTTCAAGTTTGTTGTATGCCACGGTAAGAGCTTATGGAGATGAACGTAGACGGGTGAGCCAGATCAAGTGGCCTGGATTGAGTCACATTCACAACAAAGAGTTTGCATATACATCGTTGATTCATCAAACATTGGCGCCCGTCTGCCATTTTCCTCGGTTTTGGTTTCATTTCATTATACGCGATATGGTGTTTATATAATTATATATATCCAAAAACAAACATTTTCAAATGATCTCAAGTCATGACACATGCGTGGGTAAGGAAGGAAGGGAGATTGGGTGAGGTGGGGGCGGAGATCAAAAGCGTAGCCTCGTGGGTCGCATCATATCATTATCAAGCGGAGAATGGAGACATGTTTGTCGAGGTGGAAGTTTCGCAGGCGTCGCGGCTGAGCCTAAGAGGCATCTTGCTCATTTCGGCTGGGTACGACTGGAAATTGTGGTCAACGTGAGGAGAGAATTCCCGGCGCTGGGTCCGCAAGTTTGGAGCTTGAGGTCGACAGAATAGAGAAACGGTCGTACAGATGGAAACATAATAAAAAGAACAAAAGGTCGAGCACCATGCATCGTCGAATATCAGCTTCAGACATAGGCTTCAACCAATTTGATCCTTGCGCCTGGTCTAAATTATTTGCTGAAACGAAAACGCAACAAAGTCTCTCCATGCGCTGCGCCGTTATTCATGATTCTGGCCAAGTTAGAACCTCGAAAGATGATCGATAATTGCGAAACTCCCAAGGCATGCCATGGGGGTTTAAGGCAGAGGCAAGGGCTGCGATTGTAATTGCGATGCGTTGGGCTGCCAAGATCATACTCATCTAGTAGGATGAGAACAGGGTGCATGGAGCAAGACTGGACCCCGTCTGGAGCACCAAATGGTCCGGACTTGGCACCCGGGGCATTATTGTGATTGCCATGTCTATGGCATATGGGGCACAGAAGCCGAAGGAGTGAGGCTGCAGACCTGGGTGGCCTAGGTGTGTGCTGAAACACAAAAAGCACCAATTCAGGGATGGCGGTGCAGGTCAAAGCTGATCTGGTTCACACGAATAGAGCTGGTTCAGACTGTGGTATCCTTCAAAAATCAGCGAATAGCGGTTCATATTTGTTCCTCATGTCGTCAGAATAAGGCGTCTGGTTCCGCTCGTCCGGATCAGGATATTCCTCGAAATTGCCCGTGTCAGCAGGATGGTCGACTCGTGGGATTATAGGTCCCTTAATACGACGGTACCATAAGTCGTCCCAATTGATGTTCTCAAAGAAAGGATGCGCTTTCACTCGAGCAGAGCCCCCGGAGATGTATCCTAACCGCTCCGTCGGATTAGTCTTGCAAAGAAGGGAGATAATATTCTGCGCAGCGGGCGACATATTTGGAGGGTATCGAATGCGGCCCTCGACAATCTGCTCGTAGATGCGCATTGGATTTTGATCCCAGAAGGGAGGCTGTCCTACTAGGAACTCATATATGAGAATCCCCAGAGCCCACCAATCTACCGCAAGACCATGCCCGCTATTGTGAATAACTTCGGGTGCAAGATATTCTGGCGTGCCACACAGCGTGTAGGTCTCGCGGTCTGCGATTTGCTTTGCAAAGCCGAAGTCAACCAGTTTGATGTGTCCATCCGCGTCTAGAAGGATGTTCTCAGGCTTCAGATCGCGATAGACGACACCCTCGACGTCATGAAGAAACTCGATCGTCAATGCAATCTCAGCGGCGTAGAACTTGGACGTGTTTTCGTTGAAACGACGTGCGCGCCTGAGGTAACTGAAAATTTCACCTCCGGGGCAATAGTCCAACTATGATGTTGTCAGAGATCACCATAGCATGAGAAACACATTCCGCAAGATCTCAAAGGTCCAAATTGAGACTCGAGGGTGTAGGTATCATGGGTAAGCAGCCATACCAGCATGTAGAGGTGTTGGTCATCGGAGAAAGATGCTATTAATGTGGTTACGAATGGATGTCCGGAAACGTCCGCCAGAGTCTTCCGTTCGTTGCGCACATGCTCAACTTGTTTCAGCTTTATGACTGTAGAGGGCAAGAGACATGAATATCAGCTTCCAAAACTGATACGAATCGAGACATCAGAAGGGAATATTACCGTCCGCTTTCCTGAGCATTTTGAGCGCGTAGACTTTATCCTTTCGGTGCTGCTCTTCCTTCAACTGCACGAGCCATACACGAGCGAAGGTACCTAAAGACAAGGACACCGCCACCGTCAGACACCGGTTAGGCCGCGCAAGCGATGAAGCTTAGCTTACCGGTACCGAGTGTCTTCAGCAGCGTGAAGTCATTGACATTCAGCCGACGAGTCGAGATGCCTAATTGTTTCTCCTCCGGGCGGCCTGAGATAACAAAGGGACTCAAGCGTCTCTGATGGGGCGGTCGCACCGAGGACACCACGTCCTTTTCCCTTTGATGAATGTCGTCGGATGCCATTTCGGGTCGGAGGAAAGGGGGAGATGCGCTTTGGAATTCGTTAGGATGTGAGGGGTCGACTAATCCTGCAGCCATGAGCAGGGCAAGAGTTTCATATCGCGGATGGCCGCGGGGAGTAAGTGAGATAGATAGATAGTGAGATAAGAGGGGCAGCAATTGAAATTGGAAGAGCTATTTCAGCTGCAGTCCTCCTTCTATAAGCGACCGACAAAGGCAAATTGGAGTGGGAGGGGAGAAGATGATGGAATTTGCCCCGTGGGATTATCGATTGGAGCAGCGGGCGCAGCGCGGGAAGACGTAAGTAGAAGAAGAAAGAGTAAGTTTTGGCGGGGAGCTTTTCTGCTTTCTTTCTTCTTTGGGTGAGGGAAGCCATGCGGCAGCACTAAATAATCTAACTACTACGGCAACAGAGAGAGGCCTCTGACGTTACCGCCAGGCGGGGCAATTCGACATCACCACCTCACCACCTCACCACCACTATCATCCTCATACTACTAGGTACTCATGATGCTAATTTATTGTGGATAAACCCGTTAAATCAGTCGACTAGAAATAATCTTGAGGATTGCATGCTTGCTGTTTAGACATCTAAACCAAGTACTAGTACATCAAAGCCGCACACTCCCCTGACCACCACCCCTGACCACCACCATCTGAGGCCACCACTGACTATGAATATCATGGGTGCATGTGAAGTCTAACACATTCGGATTCAGGCTTCGGTCTGGTAAACCCGCCCAGAGGGCGTCCTACTCGAGTTCACGAGGCGTAGTTAGGGTTTGAGGGAGTTGACCCGAGCGAAAACGGTCAACAAGTGCGGAAACAGAGAAATGGGATCACGACCAGCCGAACTCCTCTAACCGGAGCTCTTCGAGTTGAGGATAAGACCAACAATCAACCTATCACCGTCAGCGTACTGTCTACTTCTCCCATCGGTCCTTGCACCAAACCTACCCATAAAGACCAAGAACCTCGCCGAAAATGAGGATCAGAATCATGCCGACATAAACCCTCGATTGTTGCATGTACGCACGCACGCCCTTTCAGAGTTATCAGTAGCTGCACGAGGTAAGACACAAGTCTTCGGCTGCCGCTTACCGCATCTCCCACAATTCCAATAGTGTATCCGGCAGCCACGCCTGCGAGGCCAACCGATAATCCAGAAGCCAAGTGCATGAATCCACTATATAGCCGTCAGTTTGTCGTTCTGAGAGTATTTGCTTGCAGGCCGAGCATACGTGTAGAGACTCATGTTCCGGGTCGGGGGAGGGTCCATATCACCGGCGATAAGGACGGCGATGACGAGGCCATAGACGGCGATGATACCGGACATGACGACGGGGATCAAAGACTGCATTGGTCAGCTCGACTGCTCATCCTGGAACCGTAGATGGGGTTCCCCATGCCTTCATAATCAAATCAGGACGGAAGGTTCCCACACCGGCGATACCGATTCCAGATTTGGCTGTTCCATATGCTGCTCCCAATGCTGTAATCAAGTAAGTCAATGCGCCGGCCCCAGTCGATCCATTCCGTTGAAAACCCAAGCTCACATACATCCGAAAATCATCTTTGTCACAGTGGTCATTAGTGGGCGGTCACAGGTCACGGGGATTGTTCACGCGATACTCACAGCCGATGCAATTCCTGCCTGTAAGTGTATGTCATTAGCTATGAATGACCATGGAAGTATCCGGAGCAGCCAGGGCAGGCCACAGCAAGTATGCCGTGTCGTAGGAGTCGATTCAAGATTTACAGCGACTTACAAAGGAGAAGAATGGAGCGAACTTAGGAGAGAACTCGCTGTCCGCCATGGTGAACTGATGCGAGACACCGCAAGGTTGGGGGAATCGACGGAAGGTGACAAGTAACGGGGTGGGTGGCTTGGAGGCGATCGGAGTAAGGTAAGGATTTGCGGGAAGAATACCGTATTCCAGTTGAGTATGAGCGAAAGGGGAATCGTAGAGTGAGCTCGAATAAATACACTGAGAGGTCTTGCCGCGGACCGGAGGTCGAAGGTGTGATTTGTAGGTCAACGGAGAGCCAAGTAAGTAGAGGCAACAGAAGGTCAGTTGTTCCAGCTCCAGGTGCCGGTGACGGAAGATGTCCGCTTGGGCCACCGTACTCTAACCTGAACCAACTGGTCAATCCCATCTGGGTTAAGACTGACATGTGCCTGGTTGACCCAACAAACCACTGGGAAACTCTCTGGTCAACCGTGGACCTTTGGTTAACCTCTGGTTAACAGTGCTCCGTACCACTAAAACTGCTAACTTCTTCATTCACAATCCACTCCCACACCCACATCCACACCCACCACCATCACCACTACTCCTCCTCTCCCCTCTCCCTCCCCCCCCCCTTCCCCTCCTCCCGTGCTGCCATTCTATTG